AGCTCGATGACTCGTGCACTTTTTACAAGATAGTATAGAAGCTAAAGGAGCCTCATCGGTACCTGCTGCTCCCCTTTAACCCCTAAAATGTAACATGTGCCCTCTCTGCCACCTCCAGCACTCTTCTCTAGCTTTAAACTCCAGTTTTAATCCAATGCTGATGGATTTAATTGGTTCTTACCCTTTTCGTGTGTGCAACTACTCATAAAACACAGAAGATCTGCACATCCAAAATTCTTTATAGGTGCTGGATAGAGGGCAGAATAAAAAGTAAAATATGTCTGTTTAGTTGCTGTTTTGGTGTTTAAGGTCCTTAGTTTGCTCAAAAATAGAAATCTGAACATCTGCCGTCCCAGGACAAGTGAAGAACATCCAACATGATTAAAAGTTTTCAATTAGCTGAAGGTGGATTGTAAAAATATTGGTGATAACTGGAAAAAAACATCAAGTACAGTTAATTTCTCAATTTTTTTCCTGCATGTTATTTTATACCCTGAATTATGAAGGTGACACACACTAGCTGTAATGAACTAAACAGCATTGTGGGGCTGATGTTTACTGTTGTACACTTCACCACCACTCAGTGCTTTGAACAGCCAGACAACCAACCTGTTAAGGACAACAAAGCACATCTGTTTTATATGCCAGCTACTGCGTTCCAGGATCAGTGTTGTCATTTTAACTTTAGCTCAAACTGGAGAATATCCACCTTTCAAACTTAATTTTAGGGAAAAAAAAAAGAAAGTAAAAGAAAAACATTAAAAAGTACAAAGTGTGATACTGAGATGCCTGTGCATGTTTTAGAGCAGTAGCACTCTCCAGAGCACCTTCTGTGATTACTATGTCAGTGCTACAAACCAATCACAGTGAAGCTAAGCCTGCTGAGTGTTACTGCTTCTGTTACCAGCGCATGTTTTACAGTCTGGAAACATCCCGTCAAAGTGGTGAAAACTCATGAGTATTAAAAATGAATGAATAAAAACAAATAAGAAGCGGGCATGAAGAGCCATTTCCATCTCTGTCCCATAAAGCATGACGATGTGGCAACCATGTAGGGGTGTAACAATTCTAAGACCGAAACCATGATACAAACGTCCACCATACTGTGTCATGTAGGTACTCTGGGATTCACGTAGAGCAGTTAAAGCATGCTAACTTTATGAAAGATGTAATAAAGATTGTTCAAGTAACAAGCAGGGACGCCTGCTATTTGTCGACTATACATAAAGTCCAGAAGTATTAGAAGTGCAGACTTTAATTAGATGCAAGTTAACTGTTGATTTGAAGAGTTTGTTCAGTCACCCATAACAGGTGGGAGTACCTCTCCCTGACAGGGCGTGATGTTCGACTTTTGTATGTGGGCTTATCTAACAAAACTAACAACCAGAGCACTGTGCAGGCATGTGGGCGTTAACCTGAAAAGAAAAAGTACTTCTGGTGTTTATGCTAACACTAGCCACACTCGGCCACACAAAAAGGCAGAACAGATTTCAGATTTTTGGTTACGCATTGTGCGAACAGTATTTGTATGGACAATGATTCATTCCCTTTAATGTTTCACACAAAACATGAAGTGAAGTGTTTGTACGTCTCTGCAGTCTATCTAACGAGACAGAGGAAAATTGTCAATTCTCTCCTGATGAAACTACAGTCAGAATGGATGGCATCATTACGGCTTACAACATGTCAGTGTACACATATGACCTTGGAGGGAGCCAGTGTGTGCATACATGTGTGTGTTTGTGTGAGAGAGAGCCTGGGCCTGGGGCCTGTGGGACATTGTCATGGAGGATGGGACGCTACCCACTGGTCATTGCTGCCTCAAGTGGGATGTGGGTACTTGATGGTCCAGGGAGTGCGGGTCGATGATTTGTTGTGGTTGCTTACCCGCTTCTTTGTGTGATTCCAGGCCGTTCTTGGGCATTTTGGGGGCTGGGGTCTTGTCCTCAGCTTGTGCTGGGATGGTTGGCATCTGGCCAGGTCAGCTCCCTGTTGCATCTGGTCCTCTGAGTCTCGTCCCTTTGGCGATGGGGGATAAATCTGTGGCCTCACTCTTCCTTCTACGGGGTTGAGCACACAGTTTTCCCTGGGTCGTGCGGTCTTAGGTCTTCAATACTCGTCTGCTCCTGGCTAACAGGGGATGTTGCTGCGAATTGTTGCCCTCATTATCAAGAACGTTTTGCATTGTGCTAATCTGGATGTATCAAAGAACTTTTGCACTGATTTGATTGATTGATTGGTCATTTATTTCAACATGTGAACAATATACAAGTACATTTAGAAAAGAAAATAAGAGAGAAAAAATACTATACAAATTACATACAAAAAAAACCATTCTGATTAATTTACATGTTGAAAGGGAGTGGGAAGAAGTACACACTTATTTAATCCCACCCCTTTGCCATAAATTATCAGTTAATATTTAGTCAGCTTCCTTACTGATATAATTTGTAATAAAAATAGCGAACAGATTTCTGATATACTTTATACTATAATATCACATCATGAGTTTTTTGTTTGTTTGTTTTTAAATAGAGACATTCACTTAATTTCAATATTTTCCTTTTCTTTATAGTTTGAGAAGATCATATTTTCATAACTCTTTTTGAACAGTTTTATGTTTGGACATTGCTTTAATTCCATATTCAGTTTGTTCCATAGTTTCACTCCATGAACAGAAACACAAAAGCCTTTTCTTGTAGTACGTACCTTCATTGTTTTGAAGTTACAAAAACCCCTTAAATTATAACTTTCTTCTTTCAAAGAAAACATACTCTGAATATTACCTGGCAGTTCTTTATTTTTTACTTTGAATAGAATTTGTGCTGTTTGGAATTTCACTATATCGTCAATTTTCAATATTTCAGACTGCAAAAATAGTGAGTTTGTATGTTCCCTATAACCTGCATTGTGGATGATTCGAATTGCTTTTTTTTGAAGAGTAAAAAGTGAATGTAATGTGGTTTTATAGTTATTGCCCCAGACCTCTGCACAATAGCTTAAGTATGGTGAAACCAGTGAACAGTAGAGAATATGAAGTGATGTTCTGTCAAATACCTGTTTTGCCTTGTTTAGTATTGCAATGCTTCGTGATACTTTGGAATGAATATATCTTACGTGAGCTCTCCAGTTAAGTTTTTCATCTATTATTACCCCCAGAAATTTATTTTCACTGACTCTTTCAATATCAACACCATTTATTTGAATCTTTGCATTTGTATTTAAACTACTATTTCCAAATAACATAAGATTTATTCAAATTTAATGATAATTTGTTTTTATCAAGCCAGAACTTCACTTTACTTATTTCATTAGTCATATCCTCCAATAAATTCTGCAGATCATCACCAGAGCAAAAAAATGTTTGTATCGTCAGCAAAGAGAACCATTTTTAATACACTGGACATTTTCTTCTTTTGGGACAACAGCTGAAGCTGTCGGACAGGACGGGTATTGAGACTGTCTGAGGGTATATAGAGCTGAACGGGTAAACTTCACTTTGCGGAAAAAAGTGAGGGAACTCATGCAACCTAATGGATTTTTACACCATTTTCAAATTTTGAAATCACTCTGACATGTTTCCAGCTATTGGTTGTACTCCTCATTGTCCTGTTAGCTGTTAGTAGCGTAGTAACTTGAAGTGTTACATTAGGAAGGGTATCTGGCATAAAAACTGTGCCAAATCAAAAACTCAGATCCATCCGCTGTGGCAGCATCTTGGGGAAAAAAGAAAGCAGCTGTAAATACCTCATTCAGCAGTTTTCAATGTGCATGAATTCACGCAAATAACTCACGGCAATACTTCACTTTGTCTTTGGTGTGAACGCAAAAAAAAAAAAAAAAAAAAGGTATGAACCTTGTAGTTTGGGAGAATTGTTACACCTCGAGAATCATAAATGCATACCGAGTCAAACATCTTGTTTGTCAACTAACAATTATCTAAACCTGCTTTAAGGTACTTATTGTAATTTCCTCTGTTTTGAAAGTGTTTTTAACACCTTTTAAATTTAAATGAAGCTTTCAGCAGAATGTAAACAATTGATCGGCATGACTTTACATCCAAAACACTGATATATTTTTTTGTTGAAGAAATATAAAGAGAACCTTAACCAGGGCTGGACGGCAATTTTGTGTAATACCAATTTGTACCACAAGATGGTGCATCAGCGTAACCTTTGTTTAACCAGGCAAGCCATTAGAACAGTTTGTACAAAGGCATTTACTGGTGAAATACTGCCCCCTGGTGATAAAGGTTTTAGTTAACATTTGCTGCAGTTTAATTACAAAAAGTACCTTTAAAAGATTTTTTTGTCTTTTTGTACAGTTGTACAACAAAATGCTGCATTGAATTTTATACCTTATTGTATTGGAGAGATTTTTTGACTGTTGTTTGTAACGATTAATCAGCACGTGGCGATACATATGAAGTAAATGGTTTTACATGTTTATTATAATAGCTAAACAGGTTTCTTTTCCTAAAATATAATCTCTTTTGGTGACCACTTTACAACATGTTGGTGCAGTAGTAATAGTAGATTATTTCGGTAATGGTGCAAACTTCTGTGTAACTTTCCGGTTCTAGTACCAGGGTCGATCTGAATTCACTCAATAATGATGTGCACTTTCTTCTCGTAGTAGTTTTTATAGGCTCTCAACTCAAATATTCAATGATAGGTCCTCTATCAGCCTGCCAACCTACCACTGAACACGTTTTTCAGAGTGAGTGAAGCCGTGTTAATGCTTTATTATCACGCTTGTGATGTAGGTTGATTGTCCCCAGTGCAGATGCGGTAAACCTTTACTTGTTTACTGTTGTTTTTTTAAAAAAAAGAAGAGTATTAAGAAGGATGTGAAGTTATTTTTAGATCACTTTTCTTGATTACCTCAAATCATCCTTCTGTAGCTCAAAACACTGTTAACGAATCATCTCTTGTTTGCCATGTTTTCATGTTATCTTTGTTTTGTGGAGTACTGTATTTAATGTAACTTCTGATTTAATGATCATGCACCTTTTTGTTGCCGATCTTGCTGTAATTCACATTTTCACTTGAATACTGGACACCTGACGTTTGTGGCTCTTTTTTTCCTTACTGTAAACTAATGACTTTCAAATACAGTTTGCATTGTTTTCTTTAACCTTTTAGGGGAACATTTACTAGAATATGTCTGTAGTCAGGGCATGGTTGAGTATTTTTGAATGTGGTGATGCTGTAGCATGGTACTGCAGAGAACATGTATGTAAAAACGGTTTAATAAAGCCAGGTTCTGTTAACCGTACGGTCTGAACTTGTTTTTTATTTCCTGCCTCTGGAGCATGAACATGAACAACACACACAGACTTTTACAGCCCCCCCCTGTGTGACAGTACTGTATTGTAGCAAGTATTTCTATTATATCATAGAAATGTTTGTTATAACACAATGTCATAGAGTGGCAAATGTGTAGCAGACTGGGGTGACCTGATGATGTTCTCCACAGCCTCCCTGGAAAGATCAAAGCCTTAAGAGAAGGGTGTGTCTGTTATGCTTTTGAGGATATTTGAATGGGCAGCAGGTCAGACCCAGGACATGCTTATGAACACCTCAGTGTCAGCCCTGAGGAGCGAGAGGGGAGGGCGGTGTAGGCATCTCTGATTGGAATGATTTACATGCTAGTGAGCAGAAAAGAGCATGTGAGAGTATACAATCTGGAACAGAGTAGAAATGCAACACATTTATTAATGTCGAATATAGCTTTCTATAGAACACATTGAAACATTAAGTATATGAAGTTTCTTTTGTCATAAAGCTGGTAGCAAATATCTGAATATAATAATGAAAGTAAAGCTGCTAGGTCAACGATGAGTAAGGCATTTTAAAATTTACCCCACACTGCCTAAGGCTCGACCACTTATGTTGTGTTGTAGAAAAGTGCAATAAAGCTTTATTTCCTTATATCCAGTGTACAGGCTTTCGTTATGTTTACTTATTTTCTTTTAATATTAATTTCTTAAGTCTCAGATAATGAATTAAAATTGTATCAGGTTCTGTTATGATCCTCCGTAACCGTCACGGTCTGTTTGAAGTGCTCCCACAGGGGGCGCTGTCCTGGTAGTCTGCAGTGCACTTTGGCAACTGTGACAGGTGTTTTGTCGTCCATGGTGTCCAGAGTAAATCTGTGCCTGCAGATCACTTCCGGCTTGGGCCGAAGAACATCATACAGTGCCTGTAAAGCCCGCACGTCCTCCAGAGCATCATGGGCCTTGTAGCTCACGCCCAGCAGCTCCCTGACCAAGTTCTCCTGTCGAAAACTCTCCAGCCCATAGTCCTTCAGCACCTCACGTGACAGCGGCAGAGTGTCAACGTAACCTGAGACCAAAGACTCAAACTCTGCTCTGAGACTAAATTCATCTAGCGCGCGAGCCAGAAGCACACAATCAAAGCGGCGAATGTTGTGGCCGACGACGAGAGGGCGGCCGAGCATCTGAAGGAAAGCTATAAAGGAGACAAGCACCTCTCTGAGGGAGTTGGTGAGAACAGGCTGCTGGTGCAGGTACAGCCTCTGCCTGTGAACCTTGAAGCCAGTCACCTTGGAAGCTCCTCGCTGCATTCGACAGCGAGGGACGACGTAGAGGTTCAGCGAGTGGCCTCCACTCACCGCAGCCAGCTGGACGATCTCACAATTTGGATCTAGAGGAATAAAACATGAACACTTTCATGTGCTTCAAATTTAAATGACTACCTGAAGATTTTGTTTGTTTGTTTTTTAGCAGAAACAAGAGCAATTTTAAGAGCCAATAAATGAAAGTAAAATAAATAAAGAAGAAACAGAAAAAACACCCTCAAGTAAGTTAATAATTGTTGATGTTGCACAGTTTGTTTTCCACTGTGCAGCTTCCTGCAGCAGACATGGGCTTAGCATAAATGAGTAAAAAAAAATAACTACAAATAATAAACCTGAGGGACATCTGTTTGTGTTTTGTCTTTGAAAGAATAAATAACTCAGCCATTATACTGGAATATGATTTTTAAATAATCAAATATCAGTCCAAATCTATATTATAGCTTCAACTTTCTGTTCTTAGCTCACAGGAGTGGTCTTTTGCTGCTGTAGCCTTCAAGGTTCAACATGTTGTGCATTCAGAGATGCTGTTCTGCACATTTTCGGCTATTTAATAGTTGTTTTTTTCTTTTAAAGAAAAGAAAAATGACCAAAAAAACAAACAAATGAGCTATTGAATATTTTGGCTCCATTTATCTTCCATACGTGTGTGCACGGTGCGCTTAGTGGGTCAACCGTGTGTGTCTTTCCAACTTTTAACCGCAGTTTACAACATTATCACCATGATACAGTTTTATCGGTCATAATAACTCACGTAAAACAAAGTTAGAGTATGACCGTACCCAGTCCAGTCGTCTCCAGGTCAAAGAAAACCAGCGACTGTTGAGCGCCTTCAGCTTCCTCAGTTTTTTGCATCACGAATAAATAACTTCCGTTAGTGAGAGCAACGGAGAGGTTAGCTAAAAAAGTCCAAAAGCGACTATCATCATTGGCCTAAAGTGTTTAGCGATAAAACATTACATTTGGTCGGCACAGTTCTACTGTACACCGAGTCTGTCAAGCTTTCCCCGCCATGTTTTAAAGCACCTGCGCAGTGACCGACCGGAAGCTTGAAAGTTTCAAAACAAAAGCCTCGACGAAAAGGACCATATTGGACCATACAATGAAGATACATGAAAAACACAACTAAAAAAACTCGCACGCTTAGGTATAACATGCAACTGAAAACCGAGAAATAAAGAACCTTCCCATTTAACTTTTTTTTTTGTTATTTCTTCCTCTTTGGAGCTAAAAGAGGCCACACATACACATGAGATGTCAATGGAAACCCAAGGATGTCCTTATTTTGTACATCAGGACTTGGTAGGGTAGCTTACATAAGTCAAATGATATAGACCAAAAACAAATGCCCATTACAGAGGACATAAATGAATAGGCTGGTTCTAAGGAGGATATATTTGTTTGACATACTGATTTTTTTCTGCGTGAGTCATGCAAAAATTTTGAATAGTACAATGCTCCCATCTATAAGAGACAAAAAGATAGCAAGTCATCTATACAAATTACAAGCTATGTTGGGCTCCACCACTGAGTGTAGAAAAAATAAAATAAAATAAATCTTTGATATAATCATTGGTGTTAACCAGCAAGCCCAAGGTTCACAACTATGCCCTCTAGAGAAGAAGACGTGTGTAATTGGTTCCATATGCTTGTCTGTCTGTCTCTTTGTTAGCAGTCTAGCTTCTACGGTTCTCAAGAAATGAAGAGTCAGCTGAGACAGGATACGGTGCAGTTTAAAGGTGTCATTTCCTGCTCTTATAGAAACCTGGGATAAAACAGAATCAGTGGAACCTTAGAAACCACAGAGAGACACTTTGTAGTAGCAGATCTTTTATTAAGGCTGAGAAAGATGTGGGTAATGCTCTTTTTAAAAAAAAAAATATTTTGCAGACCCATTGCATTTTGGTCCACAGAGGCTACAAAAAGGCATCAATGAGATCAAAGGGAAACAGAAAAGGAAGATTGCACTGCATGTGACACATTACATTACATTTAACAGTAAATAAGTTAAATCTTGATAACTTATGACCACACATACTCCATTTCATTTGTTCCTGTTTGTCCACTGACCTGAACATAACAGCTTTAACATTATTTATTTTATTTATTAAAATTATTTAATATTTTTGCTTTGTCTGATAATTTCTCATGTATTTCTTTCAGCATTTTGTTAATACACCCGGACTGCCCTGAAGGTACAATTGGAGACGCTAAATGTGGTAGGTCTCCAGGCCTTGTACAGCTCCTGCAGCATTTTGGCATCCTCCACAGCATTATGAGCGTCGTAGCTTTTTCCCAGGAAGCGCTGGACCATGGACTCCTGGGAGTAACTGCTCAGACGAAACAGGTTCTTGCTAAGCAAGAAGGTGTCCAGGAACCCAGACACCACCTGTTGGAACTGCTGCAGGAGGGAGCAATTCTGCAGCCACCTGGTGAGCACAGGTGCGTCGAAGCGCTTTGCATTGTGGGCCGCCAGCAGCACTGGACGGTGGAAGGAGCGCAGGAAGGCGATGAAATTAGTGAGAGCCTCGGCAAGAGGGATGGTGTCCACGGGAACCCCGCGGAGAAAGAGGCGGTTGTTGCTGACGGTGAAGCCCGTGACACGTTTTGCGCTCTCTGTGAGAGGCTGGCGGGGGAGGATGTAGACATTAAAGATCCTGTCTTCACAGATGGCGCCGAGCTGAATGATGTCACACACCGTGGTGTCTGAAAATAGAAGACGGGACAAAAGGAAAAACAGATAACCACAAGTTATAATAGAACAGTCTTTTTGCAGAAAGCAGTGCAACATGAACAGGATGGTAGCTTTCCATTTAAAAGCAATAGTTTGTCAGGTTAATATTTCTATCCTTGTCAAGACTTAGATGAGAAATCTTACACCACTCTTAACATCTGTCACTCACATGGATACCTTGACAGAAATGCTGAAAACAGTACTGGTGGGCAGATCTATCGCAATATCGATACCAACACTGGTATTGGATCGATACTGACACAATCGTATGTAGTTAAAATCCCAACACTGTTGTGTTGGTGTTTATTAAAATGTACTCAGGAATAAGCAAATTTATGATAATTCAGCTAATAAATCATGACACACAGCTCTGACCTACATAAGCTCCCCTTATAAGTTAAAGGTATCGGTATCGGCAATACTGCTCTTAATCCACTTGGTATTGGATCGATACCAAAATTTACAGTATCGCACAGCACTAGAAAACAGACAGTCTTGAGGATGATACAGAGCATGCAAGTTTTTGTGTGGTTAGTTTTCAAACAAATGGGAGAGGTGCCTAGACATACATTTGTGCAGGAGTTGGGGCTCGAACATTCTCTTTGTTGTGCTGGATGATAGTTTCTGCACCTTTCAGGATGTTACGCCTGATAGGGATAACCCTTCTTTCTATTTTGTGAACTGAACAGTTTTTCCTTCACATTTCAGGGCTGCTTCCAGATTGAAATGACTGAGTGTGAATCAGAAGATGATGGAAAACAGCTTATTGTATTTTCTGGATGCAAGTCCACTGGAGAATTACGCAACATTAAAAAATGGCCGGTAGATGTATTAAACATAAATAAATAGACAAAAACACATAATGTTTGTTATCAGGAAGTGATAACAGATAATCACTCCCTATTTGTAGATTACAGTGAAAATGAAAATATCATCAGCTGCTGTTGTTAATCTTCAGCTCTCTGCGTGCTGTTCTTTTTGTCCTGCAGGGCTGTTTGCTGATCCCGCTTATACTGACGTCAGTAACACGCCTCTCTGCCAAGACGTGTGACACCAACATGCCTGGCCTATGAGGCCATTCTCACACCCACGCTAGCTCAAATCACAGAAACGAAATCAGCATCTGGTTTCATCTATGGCGTGTCTTATGTCCCAACGATGACAGGAAATATAATTTTGACTGACTTCCTAACTGAACAGTGCTGTGGTTTCCACTGACTAATCTGCTGAACTCTTTCTCAAATTAACTGCAGCCATGCAGTCCTGAAACACGAGTGTGTATTTAATGTTAAATGTACTGTTCATATGATGCAGAACATGTATGATACTAGCACGTGGGCACAGCCGTGGTTTCTGTGCTTTTTGTTTGTTTGTTTTTTGTTTAAAGCTGCCTGACACTTTTTATAATCCCTCAAAGAGAGCTTGAGGAAACGGAAGGCTGACAAGTGTAAGATTAGCTTAGACAGCAGTAAAAACAGAAACGACCACCCTCCTTATCGCGTAGAGTAAGGGCTTTACATGATGTGCGTGTGTGTTGGCAGGTAAAGCCTTCAGATTGGATTGTAAAGACATGATGGATAATATCAGTACATTTTTTATGTGTGAACAACACAAGGTAATGTAGGGGATCACTGATCTAGGAAGTTTGTCCCATAAAATATATATTTATTTATTTTTTAAAACAAAAAAAACTAAGTGCAGCAGCGGCCGTCTATCAAGTAAATAAAGTGATGTTTTGGTGCTTAAAGCGTGTTGTAATTCTGTTTTGGTAAATTGGTGAACGCAGTATTAGGCAAGGCACAGAGTTGCAACTGCATGTAACTACTGCTTTCATTTCATTGACATCCAGTGATGCTGAGGTTTAAGTTACTCCAAAAAAGCTCTATCTAAAATAACATAAAATAAAACAAAATACAACAAGAGACGTTATATTATTAGATTATTACCTAATCCAGTGGTTTCCAGGTCAAAGAAAACGACAGTTCTGTCTTGAGCCATCTGCAGATGAAAAATTAAAACAAAACAACAACAAACAACAACAGTCAGTGTTTAAACGGAACTTTTTTAAAGTTAATTTTGCCTCCTCAGTCACAGCTGTAGTCAGTCACTGAGAGCGTGTATTGAACTCACCGTGCAGCCTGCAGGTTGCTGTAAGTCTGCTGAGCCTTGTGACAGATGTGAAGTCAGCTGGAGAGAATAAATGTACTCATGCGGACTCCTCAGGGAGGGCCCAGCAGGTGAACCCCCGCCACGACATTTCACAACTTAAAACTGCGCCCTGCTTTCATTTTAGTGGAAGAGAAACTCTTTTTTTCTTCCTTCTAACCAGTCTCCTTCCTGCTCGTTCGGCCCGAACGTCCGTGAATGTGCCAGCGGTAGAAACACACTCACACGCACGTTTCTCGGTAAACGTGGAAACTTCTCTGCTGTTCGTTCACTTTCATTTTTGAGCCGCTAGATGACACACGGTTTTTGTTCTACGGCAAACCGTAGATTTGAATAGCCTATGTTATATAAATGAATAAATAATAATACAGTGACTGTATGACACAAAATACAAATATAAAGAAATTCATATTTTTAAAAAGTTACACTATTAAGCGAAACTTTAAAAAGTAGAGTGTGACCGTAATGATTTTGAAGTAATTTGAAATAAAAAGTTTTTAAAAAGCTGTTAAAGACGGTAAAAAAC